TTATTTCATTTTATTCTTTATTTCATCTATTATTTATCTATTGACATATATGTAATGTTATTTTTTATGTTATAGTACTTTTAATTGTTATTTCATTTTATTCTTTATTTCATCTATTATTTATCTATTGACATATATGTAATGTTATTTTTTATGTTATAGTACTTTTAATTGTACCAGTAATTACGATAATGGAATAATTTAGAAAATAGATGCACATTTATATTATTATAATCTATTTTGTTGATAATGTAATTCATTTTAATAAAAACTACTCAGTTCACAGTCACAATTATCTGTACAATTAGTATTGCGTTATTGTATTAATACAAGTAACAGAATAATTCATTCCCATTGTATAATTGGAAAGATTAATAAAAAAATTGCATCATTTATGATTAAATTTTATGTACATTGATCATAATCTTCGTTGACATCAGTAAAAAGATTTGTAAAATCATAGGATCATACTTTGATTTGAAATAATTTTCATTTTCTTCTCATTATTGAAATGATTCCTCTTCCACAGGCTCACCACATTTGGTCTGTACGGTTTTACCAGCCCACTGGAGATCGAACAAGACGTTACCGGTGGCATTTAAAGTGGTAGCTTTGGGAGAAGTTGGCGACGGTACTTTAGTGACAGTTCGTGCTGGTAACGATGAAAATTGTTGCGCCGAATTAAGGAATTCTACGGCATTGATGAAAAATCAAGTAGCTAAATTCAACGATCTAAGGTTCGTCGGTAGAAGTGGCAGAGGTGAGTAAAGATTTTCCTTTAAGAATTATTAGTTAGAATAAATTTATCTCTTAGAAGACTATGAAGAAGAGAATAGAGTTATGAGAAAATTTCAAATGGTTTTTCGCTAAACCGAAATTCAGAAATTCACGAAAACATTTTCATTATTGTGTTACTCGATACGCGTTCCAAATTAATTCTGAATCAAGAATATTGAAGATAGTAAGAAAGAGAGAGAGAGAAAGAGAAAAAAAAGAGATACACTGATCGAAGAAGATTATTCTTGATCTTAAAAGACGCTGAACCTTCTTGGCCTACTTTCCCCTTGTTTCATTCATAAAAGTAGAAAGTTGTTTGGCTTCTGTCGACGAAGCGTGTCGCCCCTTCTGCATCACGAATGAAAACGAGAAAGAGGAAAGTAAGAAAGGGAGAGGTAGGGACCCTTTTCGTACAAGGAAGAATCTTCGTTGGTCTTGTAGTAAGGGTAGGTCGTGGACGTCTTGAGACACCCTCCTTTTTCTTTATCCCTTACCAAAAGGGAAAAGTCTTGGCAGTCTGTCTTTCCAAGCTTCCTTTTTGGGTTGACATTGAACGAACAGTAGCTAACTATTTCTCTCTTAGTATCTCTTTATTGTGTGAGGATGGTTTCGAGGAGAAGATCGTGACGAAAACGATGAAGACGACAAAGACGACGACGACGACAACGACGACGAAGATATCTTAGGGATGGGTAATGGCTTTTATTTGTCCGCACTACTACAGACCAATTCAACGTGTTTATTTCACCCACCTTCCTTCATCGTTAGAGAGTAACGGAAGAAGAGCAAAATGGGGAAGAAACGTAACGCAACGAAGCCAAAAGTAGGGTGGCTGGTGCTGATATTAATTGAGGTTTCAGACGGATTTTAATTAACGTTATTAGCCTAGGTACTTCAGCTAATCCAATTCGACCTTGCAACGGAGAATTTCTACTCAGTAGTTCGACCTACTTTCGACGATACAATTATTCCTTTGAATAAGAATTTCTTTACTTTCTTGTTCTTTTTTTTTTGGTCTCTCACTTTTTTTTGACGAACGATTTCCAACAATTTAAGTTTAAAGAAGATAACGATTAGAATGGTAGGATATGGTCTAGAGAAGAAAACATTAGATTTTGTTCAGATCTTAGGAACCCTTTTCGCGAACACGATTCGCTCTTCGTAAATCACAGATTTGTCGAATTCTCTGTCTCTTCTAGTCTTACTACGAACGAGAGGGAAACTTCACCCTCTTTGGATTTTAGAAGCTCGCAAGCGTCTGTCATTTGTCTGGGATTAGCTCTCGATTGTTTTCGCTTGGCATGGAATTAACATAAGCTAGGATGAAGAATGTAAGAGAAGTGTCTCTCTTGTCAGTTTCTCGTCTCTTCGTTCATTCGTTCGTTCATTCCTTGAATATTCCTAGAAACCGATGTGCACCGAATTGTCGCCCTAGAATCCATAATGATCCTCTTGTTCTCTGAACATAAAGGTACTCAGACTCGTACGAACTTAAGTCTCAAAGCTCATTGAATTTAAAAGGTTCGTTGGATCATCGAATCTGCATAGTTTGTAATTTTTAATAAACTTTATTCGTGAACTATGAGACGAACAATCCTTAAACTTAAAGAAATAAGAAGAAAACGAATATGAAGAAGAAGAAGAACAACAACAACAACAACATCAACAACAACAAGAACAAGTAAGAACACGAATAACATCATTCGCGGAGAAGACTAGCACGATAGTATGATAGTCGAGAGCTTTGCAATATCGATGATAAGCCGGAGACCCCTTGCCGCACGTTCAACTGTAATGCCTGCTCCATCAGAGCAAAATCTACCCCGAAGGTACTGGATCGTTTCTACCCCTTTGCCTCTAAGCCCTTTAACGAGATAGATCATTTGGGTGCTTATAGTTTCAGCCTAGAATATAGAGGAGTACGTTGGAACTTTGTTATCAAGGATGGGATTTCCTTCCTCTCGATTTCTAAGATGAAAGTGCTTTTTCGTCCTTCTAATCATATACATATATACGAGGCCAACTTTACCTAAGTCACTCTTTTTTTATCAGATAAAAGCATCATTAATGTTAAGAGCCTGTCTTCTTTCATATCCTACACTCGACTATAATTAATTCGTTCGTACGTGAAGTCGTTAGAATAAAATTGCTCATTCTCTCTCTCTCTCTCTCTCTCTCTCTCTCTCCCTTTCTTTCTCTTTCTCATTAAATGTTCACAGTTGGAACTAAATTTCGTGAAACGACCAACGCTTATTTTCCGAAATTTAGAAAGAGAAAAGGTATAGTAGCCGCAAGCGATAACGGCTCGGCCTGCGTGTCCTGACCATAATCAATTCGTTATCAGGCTACAATAGCGCATTTGCGATTCGTTCCGGGTAAAATTGAAATTAATTAATTGGCTCGACAGCACCCGGACAGCCTCCACCTACAAACGTACACACCTATTCACTCCCAACATATACACACACACAACACACACACACACACACATGTATATATATATATGCATAACATGTTAATGTCGATAGTATATACACACGTAGGCGTACACCTTTCATGGAGAAACGTATGCTAACGAGCATAATCAGCGAATCGACGAGGACGAGCTATTACTCGATCGACTCTCTTCTCTATTCGATTTCATACAAATTCAATTTCGTGTCTTCGCGCCACTGGTTCTCTCCTCCCCACCCCCACTTCCCACTAAACCCCCCTGACTGCCCTCCCAACTTCATCGTTAAATGAAACATGCCTGTAAAATCTGATTTCTAAAATTGTAATGTCCCTTCATTTCATAAACAGAGAAGTTAATAACGCATCAAGTAATTTTGGTATTTTATATATTTTTTGGTTGAAAAACAAACGTGTCAACGAAATGTCATACTTTTGAAAAGACTTTTTACATTGAAATGCATAGAGGTAAGTGAAAAGGGGGTGTAGGTTTGAAACGAGCAACATTTTCGGTTTAAAGTCAACACACAATACGTTTAACAACTCGGACAAGTATAAAGTTTAAGTAAAAAACATTTCTAGGAAAGGAAAGAACGAACGAACGAAAGAACGAGTGAGAGGAGTCTCGCGTTTGAACAAAAAAAAAAGTAAAAAAAAAGGTTGTCTCGCGAAAGGGGAGAAAAGACTTTTAATGGTTGTACGGTGACTGGCACCGAGGGTGATACCATGTACCTACGCGTACCTACCTAACTACGAGGCATAGGTAGGTTGTAGGTGAAAAGGCTCTGGCAGGCAAACAGGCAGTAGGCAGATCGAGGATGGCGTGACTCCCAGTAAACCTAGGTGAAACTTAAGCTACATTGCTCGTGGAAAACGAGAAGCTCGCGTGGCGAACCACCGTGTGGCCACGCTCGACACTCGCCATTATATTTCGCTTTTTATTTATCCATTCTGTTAACTATCTCTATTTTCTAAAAGAAATAAGACTTCCTAAGGTCAACTATTGTATTAATTATATTTTATTTCAAATGAAATAATACGAATGTACATTGGGTGGAAACGCGTTTGAATAAACGCATAAAAAAAAAGAATTTCAAAATCCGTGTAAATGTTTATAACAATTCGAATGATCGTTCTATTTAGTCAGATTTTCCTTCCATTTAGATAATTTTTTTTTCCTCATATTTTCATTTCGAAAGCAAATTCAAGATCATGCATGGCACCGTCCAAATTCGTCGACCGCAGTTTAATTACGATCATGAAGAATGTAAAATAAATACCATGTCGTTCAGTTAGTGCCAACGCGTAGCAACGAAACGCAAAAGTTGTATCGCTTTTGTATACGGATATAAATAACATAATGCGTTTGAATAGCCCGTTTTCTAAACAGTCCGGAGGCAAAATGCGTCGGTTTATATTATAGCATCCGATTACACAGAAATATACTAAAATCTCGCGTCCATTAAATTTCCACTCGGTTAGCGATAAGTCCCTATAGTATATATATATATATATATACATAAATGTATATATATATATGATCATTCATATAAATTGGAAATACGTAGAAAATAGTAATAACTAAATAATCATCTGGCGTTAAAAATTTCAACAAAAAGATCAACCATCAATTTTGCATAAACTAAAAAAAAATTAAACTTTAATTAATCCTTGCGTAACGATAAACAGAGGATTGGAATCGAGAAGGGGTGGCGATTTAGGGATGGCCCAATGGGGTTTGACGAGAGGTAACAGCAGTAGCAGTAGGGGATGGTGGCATTGCGGTGAACCTCCGCGTGTTCGACGGACCGCTTGCTTGTTTTCCACGACGGTGTGAGTTTTTCCGCGACATTATTCCCGGTTAACAGGCTTTTTAGCATAATTCCGAGCCTTCCATGCCTCTTTCCCTCTTACTCTTTCTATCTCTATTTCCCTTTCCCATGCATGCGTGGGTGCGTGGATGTGCGCGCGCGCTCCCGTATACAGGTTCGACTCTTCTGGCTGGCCACCGTCACTGTCGACGACGCCCTCGATACATTACCGACGGCTAATTCGGTTACCACGGAGTTTCGCACGGCTAACCACGTTTGCGAACTTTCAGCGCCGACGTTGAATAGGTTTCGCGTTCGCTTTCGCGAATCGACGCGCTGCGAGAACGGCCGATGCGATAGAGAACGAACATTGCACACACCCACACACACACACACACACACACAAGAGATAGAAAAAAGAATGAATGAGTGAGTGTGAGAGAGAGAGAGACAGAAACAGAACTCATCCTACTAACTGGTCTCCACGAACAAACCGAACTCGTTTTGCGGTTCGTCCAACGGTTGGGAATTCGAAGAATTCGATCATCGTGCTTTGATTCCTTCCTGTTTCCCATGAAATCTCGATTTTAGAGATTTCCCTTTTGTTAAGATCTTTTCTTTATTTTTTGACCTGGTCGAGAGATGGACCCTTTTCACTCTTTTTTCTATGATCTTTAAAGCATTAACTGCCACCAAGATATGTATCGCGATCTTAAAAGATAAGAGAACAATATAACTTTATTTTTATTATACCATAGATAATCTTTAAGTTAAAATATTTCATTGTTGAAATGCGTTCATTTTTCAGTTCATGGTATTGTCCGATTTCCTCTGACGTTTCGAATTCTGTATTTGTCAATATCTGTGTGTGACTTTAAATAATAAAACATTTTACGCGGTCAATTTATCATCACAGTAGTCCAGAAAAGAAACAAACTTTAGTCACTGATGATATGACGTGACAGAAAACGTATTGTTTGCATCGAATAAGAAGAAAATCAGGTCTGTCAAACTATGGGTATCCTAATTTACCTGGTTCTACACAATAGTCATTTGATACATTCAATTGAGTATCTTAAAAAATAAAAAAGTTGTACTTACTTTTTCATTAATTTATTGTTAATTAGTAAAAATATAAAATCAAAGATTAAAAATCGCAAAAGCCAATTGTAATAATCTGTGAATGTTTTTTGATTTGTCTGTTTACAGGAAAAAGTTTTACATTGACGATAACGGTATCAACAACGCCACCTCAAGTGGCAACTTACACGAAGGCTATCAAAGTAACCGTAGACGGCCCACGCGAGCCGCGATCCAAGACCAGTGAGTATCACTGTAAGCATTTCTATTCTTCTCTAATTTTCTATTATATGTAGTGAGTGTGTTATGCATGCTTATTCTCGTAGTCGAAGAATCCATCCAATGGTCATGGCTTAATAAGTGGTCTTCGGAGAACTATTACAATTTCGAAGGTATTGATCTTTGTTATCGCGTGTACTATTAATCCTGACCTATATAATAACAATTTCACAAAGCTTTGATCATAATCATCTGATTGCTAACAATTGTCTCTTGTATAATCTCTCTCTCTCTCTCTCTCTCTCTCTCTCTCTCTATCTCTTGTCTCTTCTTACTTTCTCTTTCATCGATTTCCAATCTCACGCAGTAGGTCATCTGATGAAATTTCCATGAAAATGTTCTTCCTGATCATGTAAATCCATGTAATACGTGATTGTATAGGTAGAAACTTGAAATGGTCTCTCGTGTGCGGTTCCTTCTCGACCTGGTGTCTAAGTTTCGTGCAATTGCCATTATTTATAAGTAGGGCCTGGTTGGCCGTAACATTGACAAAGGGTTGCGGCGTTAGCCCCGCGAAGATATTGCGCGTGTTATGTCGCTAACACACGCTTACGCAAACTTCTCCAAGTAGTTCTACTACTCATGCTATATTCGGGACATACAATTACCAGAAACTCTGTAATAGGAAGGGTAAGAAGGTCCTAGGGCTCTTCTCTCCTTTCACCGGAAAGGAGTAACGAAACGTCTTTCCTCGTTACGTAACATACCTACCAAACGTTATTTGCTTTTGCTCTACTCTGTGTTGTTTCGACCCTCTCGTCCAAGCGAAATTTAGATTCCAACTGGTTTGCTTACTACGAACATTACAACCGGACGTAGGTAATACTCAACGGTGCTGTAATAGGGTTGGTGCTAAGAAACGAAAGGAAATCGACTCGAACTTCTCAAACTTCCCTATCTGAAGTCGTCCTCCCTATCGATTTCATCGGACATCATCCCCCTTATTCGCGGGATGACTGCCAGGGAATTTCTCGAGAGTTACCAGCTGGCAACGACAGCTCCTCATTTCGTTCCCCGTCGCTACCCGTTTCTTCTCCTATCTCTTTCTACTTACTCATCTTCTTCTTCTGTTCTCACCAAACATTAAGCGACAAAAAGAAAAAAAGAAATAAAAAGATGTCCGCTCAATTTCGATCTTTTTTTTTCACTTCGTACAACATGGATTTTGAATTTCGGAGAAGAGAAACGTTTGTTAGAAAGAACATTCGTGCGAAGAAGAGGTGGCAGAGAATGAGGAGGAAAAGGAGGTAGTGGTGGAGGTGAAGGTGGAGGTGAAGGTGGAGGTCGAGGAGGATAGGAGGCAAACCTCTCTCAATCAATTTCCTTGGTCTTGCCGCCTTTCTGTGGCGGCTACCTTCGGCTACGGGACGAGGGTAGAATGTGTAATGAATTGCTTGTTTAATTAATTACGACCCTCGCGCGAGGCTACCGGAGAAGCTTCAGGCTAAGGCGCCTCTCAGTCTCTCTCTCTTTCTCTCTTTCTCGTTCTCCTATTTTCTTCTCCTCGTGCATCACGCCCCCTTCGTATTTTCCCAAATGGATTTTGGGATTTCGATGGAGAATGCTTTTACGCTCTGAAACGAGAGAAAAGAGTCGAATCTTTGGATGAACGGGTTAAGAAAGGATGAATTCGATTCCTATCGTTCTAGGGAGTATATTAAATATTTATACCGATTACAAATTTAATTGTTGGATATTATTGAATTGGAAATAACGTTGTTATAAATTTATTCGTAATTATAATAGTTAAAATTCTTGTATGCATTCAGTCTTTTTAAAAAAGGTGCAATTTAAAAAAAATCTGTGTTACCTTTTTTTGTAATAAAATTATACTTTAGATTTGATATTAAAAAAAAAGAAATATATAAAATTTGACCAAACGAGTAAAAACACATTGCCGTTTCTCCCTATACGTTTTATATCGTGATTGTTGAACAAGTGATAATTATAGGAGAGAAAATAGAAAGGGTCGTCGTGTTGGAGAAAAAAACAACACAGAGCCCACCCACCATATAGGTGTATATCAAAAGAGGGTAAAATCGTACACAGTCAGTGATGACCAAAGAACCGTACGTAGGGAGGGAGGCCCACCCAAGAGGGCTCGGGGTCCTTTTATCTCTCGCCGCGTCCCTTCGAATTGTCGCGGCACACATCACAGTACCGTTACAAGGCAAGCGTTTATTTTAACCGGAGAGATCCAACGAACCGACCTTCGCTGCGATTATTTTTAACCGTCTTAACTGGTAGTGTTACGGTTCGGAGTTTCGTGTTCCTTTTGATTTTTCACAAATTCGACAAGAGTTTTCCTTGAAATCGACTACTAGACAACTCGTTTCCAATCTAAATCTAACGAGGTCATTTTCATTCTAATATCGTTGGATGGTCGAAGTTCGTTTCAACTTCGTGATCTCGCAAAACGTTTCAAAGTTCGATTTACATCCATCGGTAGGGCAAACCTCAAGAGCCTGTAGGAAGATCGTAGGGCGTATCGATGTTAAAACTGATCGAGTTCTCCTACATTCGAGTTTAGTGAGAAAGCGACATCGAAGAGGTAAAAGGGGATGTAGAAAGAGAAAGAGAAATAGAAATAGGGGAAAGGTTGGTGGAAGAGGGAGATACATTTTATTTCCCTGCAAGTACGGTGTCGCCAACCCAATTAAAGACGTCCCAACAGGCGAGAACCGTCCTTCTGTCCTGCGGAACCGGCTGTCCCTGGCGTTTTAGGTTAACGTACGGACATACACACGGCCAAGGCAACGGAGAACCCGAGTGACTGTCGGAGGATAGAGAACAAGAGAGAGAGAGAGAGAGAGAGAGAGAATGAGATAGAGAGTGGGAGGGAGAGAATAGAGAGGGTGATTCGCACTCGTATACCGTGCGTGGGTGGGCATGGACGAGGGTGTGGACGTGGGTAGAGCGGAAGAGCCAGACTCCCGTCGTCCCGATAATCCAATCGAAGCCCTAATTCTAACTCGGCAACCCGAAATTCCCGCCGGTTTGCTGAATAGGGTATGCTCGATCTGGAGACACAATGGGGGCGCTACCATAGAATATCTCTAAGTGAAGACCAACCGAGAGATACGCTTAAACGATCGACGATTTCCACCTTGAAAATTCGATGGGAAGAATGTGAAACGTTGGAAAAGGGAATGAATCAATGAAAGATAGACAGAAATAAAGAAAGAAAAAAGGAAAGATTAAAAGAATAGAAAAGAAAATAAGATAGATACACCAGTAGGTGGCTTGATTGTGTTCGTTGAGCGTACCTCAAGTCCAGTGGACAGGCGCACGGTTGATCGCAGTGCTATCTCTTTTAGGGCAGCAACAACAGTTTCACGCATTCGCCTTTGCCTCTCAACGTGGTGCACCGTTTTTCGCATCCCCATTGGTGGATCCTCTGCAGTCTCTACCGAATCCTCTACAGCCGTTGCCGAACCCGTTACAACCACGGGATCCTCTGTCGTCTTTCAGGCACGCGATGCCTGGTAATTGTCAGAGTGAGTACCTTCGTTCGACCTCCTGCTACTATGTACTATTACTGCTACACTATTACTTGTCAGTTCTTTTCTAGACTTTCTACATTGTAACTTGGTCTGTTTGTTTGCACCCCAACACTCGTTCTCCTGCTCGCATTTACGCTTTTGCATAAGTTCTCTCTCTCTTTCTCTTTCTGCTTTTTTTTCTTCTTTTTATTTTTTTTTTTTTTATCAAGATTTATCTAGGTGTTCAACTAGCTTCGGAATTCTATTGTTATTATTTGTAACGATTGAAAATGACTCTAAATGTAATTCGTTGACATGAAATATCGTGAAAATGAATATTTCTATGTAATAAATATTTCTATGACTTTACGAGATCATATCGAGCTTTCTCGACTACCGAGAGAAAGAGAAATAGTGAAGGAGAAAGACAGAGAGAAAGAGAGAAAGAGAACAGGCTTCGAATTTGAGAATATTTCCAGACAGGCATTGCTACTACGGGTTGGGTGGATAAGAGGTGGAGGAGTAACGCCGTTGCTTTTGGGTAGGCTCGGAAGCTAGCTTCTCGGCTTCAGACGCGGAAACCGCAAGCCTGTTCAAAGCTAGATTAAATATTATATTAAAGGGGTTGCCACGGGAGTACGACCCCGTCGGACGCCAGCGTGTTTTAGGGTGGCAACTTCGTCTCTCTCTCTCTCTCTCTCTCTCTCTCTCACTCCAAACTCGTATTACGGATTCACATAATATTCATACGTAAAGTCATCCTCCTCCTCCTCATCGTTTTCGTCGTCAGAATATTCGAAATCTCGGAATGTTCATTCTCTGTTCAAATCGGTCAAAAAATTCTTCGATTAACCGATTCCTAAAAACGCCTTTTAAACGAAAAAGAAAAGGAAATGAAAAGCACAGAGAAAAATAGAGAGAGACAGAGCCAATAAAAAAAAAAATAGAACGAAAGAAAAACAAAAGAACTTGCATCAGCAGAACGTTGATTCAAGAATCAATTTAACGAATTACTTCAGACGAGAGAGAGATCGGCTAGTCTGATAAAATTCCTCGATAAAGTATGAAGCGCACGGAATATTTCCTTTATTAACTTTATACCACCCTGCCTGCCTCTTTCTCATTGAACTCCGGTTGTCCGATAATTCGAAAATTCTAGGCCGATATTTTGAAGTTACGGGTTTACACGTGCGAAATCGCAGTATATAAATTGTGACTAATGGGGCATCATCTTCGACCCGTTTAGTTTTCGACGTTGAAATTTCTGCTGATTAAAAAGTAAGGTAGAAAATACATATAAAAAGGGGGGACTCATAGCCATTTAGCGGCACTTTAATCGCAACGCGAATTCTTCTTATGCGGGCGGCTCGGACGAAAGTTGTATGGCTCTCTTAAAAAAAGGGAGAACAGGAAAAAGTATAGGAGGAGGAGGTGGAGGAGCAAGGGAAAGGACGCGGTGTGGAATTTGGTGGAACCGGAACGATGTAAAAGCATGGCGGGATGCAGTATTTAGGGCTAGCTCTCGTGACGACGGGCCAGTGGCTCGTTCGTCGGCCGGAGCTCGTCGGTTATTTGAGTTGGCCGAAGGTACGCGGGGGGATGACCAACCCTTTGATCTCTGTACCCCCTCTGCCTTGTCCGTTGCCCGCTATCCCTCTTCATACCCCTTCATACCTCGCCACCGAAGCCGTCACGCTCGTCCTTTCTGCCCTTCTCCTACCCCGCGAACCCTCACCCAGTGACTCATTGGAAAATCTATCGGGGTAGCTGCCTATATTCTTCGAAAATATATTCGGCCAAGAGAATGAGAGAGAGAGAGAGAGAAAGAGAGAGGGAGGACGAGTTTACAAGTTACCTTGTGCAAAGTGCTTTTAATCGACAAATAATATCCTACATTTTTTACCGTTAACTTGCTTTTTTTTTCTTTTATTTTCTCCTTTTATTGAGGTTTTCGCTTTTGTTTTTTTTTTTTGTTTTTATGCTTTCAACATCAATTTACGAATAATCTACAATCTTCTTTGACTCGCTAAGTTTTATACGACCTTACACACAGACATGTCTCAATTCGGTTTGACGGCAAGCAACTCTTGGGGATACGGAAGTACAGCAGGATATGCTGGCTACCTTCCCGGTCCTCTTTCGTCTTGTGCGGCCCAAGCGTCTTTTCCACCCCCACCCCCTCCTCCTCCTCCACCACCACCACCAACGTCTTCTTTGGCATCATTCGCTGGTACCGCAGCTATGACCACCCCGACGGCTCCTGATTCGACAGCGGGCTCAACCGTAACTTCTGGTACCACTGGTACTACACCTCAACAGGACGCTTTCACCGGAGTATCCTCGCGTAAGTGTTTTTCTATTTAATTATTTTCTTTCGTTAATGATCACATTTTGAAAATAATAAGTGGAAATAACGCTTTGCGGTCGAACTAAATTTTGCTCTTCAAGAATATAGGAAAATTTCTCCTAGGCCTAAATCGTGAAACAAGTGCACATTCATTCGTGTTTCATAAAGATAATAAAAGAAAACTAATTATTTAAAGTTGATCCAACGAATATAGTATAACTTTAAAAGTCAATCGGACCGCAAGGAGTTAAAAGGTCCGATCAGCTGATCGATTCGTTTGCGATGTTTTCTTTTGATCGTCACAGTAGTGCCGGACACAACAACGCCTGGTCAATCCGATCCATTGGATCCACTGAGCACGCTCATGTCCGGTACGACAAGTCAAAGGTACCAGGACTACGTTTCACCGAGGTCCTTGTCAACGGACTCTAGCACCACGGAAAGTCCCGTTCAAGAGGAGCAAGGGTTCGGCCAAAACTACGGCAATTACTTTCCAACGCCAGGTGTTTTGCCGAGTATACTTTACTCACAGCTTTATGGAAATCAATTCCAAAACTCGGAGAGTCCTGAACAAAGAGCCGTCACCGAGAGTTGTAGTGTTAGACAGGAAGAAGTCAGACCGGATAACAACGTCTGGAGACCTTATTGAGAGATAAACATGGCGTCGGGTCGTCATTCCCGATCGTCGTTGACTGTTCGGACGTTTTAAAACAGACTGTGATAGGTATTCAATTTTTTGGATTAAAACAACGAGAATCGTTAGCGATGAAGCCGGTTGTTGTTATTTTTTCATTAACACGAGCTGACCGAAACAACGACTCTCCCAATTAGGTCCAACACATAAATAATATTATACATATATTATGTATATATAGTATATATTATTTATTTATTTATATATACAATATATTATATGTTTTTAATTGATCGGGCCACTAAATTTCTTTTGAATTACAATTGTTATTTACTTTGTAATAAATTTTTGTTACATCCTCCTTTTGCATAAATCCAATCGAATTTATCGAGATAAAATCGGATCTTCGAAAGTATCAAACAAACAATCGCTTGACTGTAAACGCACTTATTTTCTGTAATTCGTGCGTTAAATGTTAAAATAAAGTGTAGCTTTGCCAATGGGCCACACTTCCGATTGTATCTTTCTATCAAGTTAAACTTTGCCGTGATACAAAGAGACAATGGAAAGAAAGGTCTGTAATTAATTACGAAAATAGCTCTTGCGAGCACAAGTGTACGACACGGCGGTAGAGGCGACGGCAATTGATATTAACGATTAGGCCAAATGGCGATATTGTAAATAGTTGTACATAGATAAAACATTTGTCGTCGAGTTGAATTCATTAATCGACAATGACAATGCTGATAATTACGCTGATGATGATAATGATAATGATGACGATGATGATAATGATGATGATGATGGTGATGATAATGATAGTGATGATAGTTATGGTGATGATGATGATAACGGTAATAATAGTGGTGATGATGATGATAATGATAATGATAATGATAATGATAATGATAATGATAATGATCATTACGATAATAATGATAATGATCGTGACGATGATATTGATATTGATAGCAATGACTACGATATTACTACTGAGGTACTATGCGAGAGACGATTTATTTCTTTATGTTTTCATAGTATATATAAATATAAATATAAATATAAATATAAATATAAATATATATATATACGATATTTATATCGTGGGAAACTTGTGCAATTTCTCGTCGAGTTAAGTCTCGATGTGATCCGACGCTTACGGTGTTAACGTCCAGCGACGTTACGATCTCTTTCGATTCTCGACGGAACTCGATTAAATTTGATAAACTAATCGAATATTACGATAAAAAATTAAATTAATGATTAAATCATTATGTGGAATTTAGCATCTTAATTCGAAAAAAAGTAGGCATTCGTGAGTAAGTTGACCGATGGGATGTGGGTTCTGAATAGTTCAAAAATTAAAACAAAAGAACCACGTGTTCGAGTTTCAGATCTATTCGGTCCAATGTTTTTCACGAATCTTACAATAATAATAATAATAATATTAATAATAATTATTATAATAATAATAAAGAACAGATAATAAAATTAATAATCGTTCCGAGAGAGGATAGGAAGAGCGTCTTTGTCGCATAGCGAACGAATGAGAGTATGAGAGTGAAAAAAAGAGTGTGAAAGAGAGAGAGAGAGAGAGAGAGAGAAAGAGAGAGTCAGAAGAACGACGGCGGTGTTCGTTCGCAGATTACAAAGAAGCGATTCAACGAAGAAAAGGTTTTCTGCGCCGGTGGTACGCTGCCGAGGACCTCACATCGAAATTTCTGCTAAAGTAACGAAATTCGAAGTCCCAAGCTTCGATTTTACTCGCCTCGAGAAATAGTAAGAGTTAGAGAGAATAACGGGGAAAAATGAAGGAGAGAAAGAGAAGGAAAGAGAGAGAGAGGGATAAAATCGACGCTCGAGATTTCTTTTTTCATCGTCAGCCCGAACCTCGAAATTTTTCCCCCTGGTCGTCGGCGACGCTTATTCGTTTTTCCACGCCGACGACGAACATACACAGACACACGCGCGCACACACAGACACACACATATTGCGTTCACAAGAATGATTTCCGATATACATATCCATTACCTATTGTTATCGTAGTTTTTGACCGAGTCGAAATAAAAAGTGTATTTCAAAATATGATATTTGCATTGTCTCGTAAATTCATTACAATTAAGGGGTGGCACTACTCTAGAGCCTAAAAAAAGCCTTTTTTTAGCGAACACTACATAAGGAATAGGATTTCTTTTTTGAGGGTTGGTTAATCATATATTGAACCATGTAAAAAAATATTTTTATTGATTTTAGATAGAAAATGGCGCTGGTATTCGTGGCTGAACAAAGCCCTTTTTTTGGTTAAAACGAGCGAACTCATACTTAAACAAGTATGAGACTTAAAACAAAAAACTATGTACTATTATCTAGAGAACTACAGAGAGATTTTTCCCTAAGTCAAATTTTATAAAAATGGCGCAACCTTGAATAAAAAAATTGACTTTTCGACGAAAAAAATGTCGAAAATTGCTTATAAAATTAAAAGTTTACATTCAATCGAAAATCGGCTCTGTATTTCTCAAGAAAATATTACTATCAAACTATCTTCAAAATTTCAAGTCAATCGGTTGAATGACGCTCGAGGTATGAGTCCGCCCAGTGTAGAAAATGTAGTTTCGAGAAAAACGCGTTTAATCCGAGTGCCGTGCTGGAGCGCTCATCGCACGCTTCGAGGCGCTACGGTAAAACCAGGATTTCGCCATGTTTAAAATTTTTTTTTTGCTTCGGGACCAAGTGCATATTGGTTTTAGACATCTAAAGTACACTTTAGGCTAAGAAAAAAAAATCGATTTTTTGAAAATTCTAGAGTGGTGTTACCCCTTAATTCAAATATTCACATACTTGTGTTCTTCTATCTTTATATATTATCATTGTTGAATATTTTTATTTGTTTATATATGTATATTAAATTAATCGTTACTTTTATTTTCAATATATTTTTAATCATTTCACTTTTCATTCAGGTTTTGATTATTGAGATATAAAAGGATTTAAAGTTTATTGTAATTCACCGATTTTACGTTCCTTTTTTATTTACTATTGTTTGTTATATTTCATTGTTTTTCTTATTAAGTAATTACCACAGTATTTACAATATTTTTTAATTATGTTTTGTTTACATTAGAAGATAACATTGAGATAAAAAACGAAAGTAAGAGAGAAAGAGAGAGAGAGAGAGACAGACGGAGAAACAGACAAACAGACAGACAGATAGAGTTAAACTCGTTTTAATTTCAATGACTGATCCTTCCAGCGATATCCTTGCCTTCCTAATTGCCCCTTCGTCTTCGGTTACGTTCCAGCGTGAATGAGGAAGCTGCTGTTAGCTAGCGTTGGTTAGTGCTGCCGTCGGAGCGTTGCCGTCGTCGTCGGAGGGTAACGAGACGACGAATCTCTACAAAGGACCCACCAGCAGCCTGCACTAAGGGTTCTAAAGGATTTTCCGCTGAAGGTGTGTGTATACATATGTAAATTCGCAAAAGATTTAATTAAACCTAAACGTGGAAAGGAAGGTAACAGCTAGACTCCATCTCTTTCTCTCTCTCTCTCTCTCTCTCTCTCTCTCTCTCTCTCTCTCTCCTTCTCATACACAGCTGTTTCGTAAAGAGAAATAGAAATAGAAAGAAAAAGATAGGGAGAAAAGGGAGAGAATGTAAGGAGAATATCTATAAGTACGACTATTATTTTTCTTTTGCTTTTAATTTATAGGAAGAATTTAATCAACATATATATTGAAAAATTCATTGAAATAAAACAAAATCGTAGAAGCTTTAACAATAACGAAGTAATAAATAACAGATGAAGAGTCTATTAGCGTCAGAGTAAATAGATATAAAAATTAAAGAGAGAGAAAAAGATAGATAGTTAGAGAGAAAGAAAAGAGAAAATAAAAAATAGATAGGGAAGAAGAAGCATCGACAAAATTTGTTCGGCAAAGTAGACGGGCGTTGTACTTTTACCATTTCGGCCGGTCGAAGTTACCGCGGATAATGTTTATCGCTGTAGCACGAGGGGGTGGCATACGAGCAAGCTGATAGACACACGGTGGTTCGTCGAGTGGGGGCGGAGCGGTAGGACTCCTCGTTTATACGCGGTGCCGGCATAATGGAGTAGAGTGGAGTAGAGCACGGATAATGGAGTATGAAGAATAGCGTGCGGTGAATGTCGGGATAGTCCCTCTCACCCTTCGAACTCTCCTACCCCTTCTATACATAACCCTCCCCTGTACCACCACCATCCCCCTACATATCCCAAAACCTACGCATACCCCCGTACACGACACAGCCTCGTCTCTGTCTTTCATTTCGTTCTTCTCTCTTCTTCCATCCAGTTTAGTTCCCTTTTCCATCCTGCTAACCCTTCCGTCCTCTCGATTTTCCGTCTTTCTCCAACCCTTTCTCTTCGTTCTGTCCATTCGTTTTCGTCTCTCTCTCTTTCTCCTTCTCTCTTTTGCGTGCGTGCGTGTGTGCGCGCGCGAGCAAGTACACAGACGTACGTGTTCTCTCTATCCTTCTACTCACGCTATGCTGCGAGGGGACGGCAAACTGGACACGGCTCGTTGGCTCGTGCAGTTGGTCATACCGATTTATCGTCCTGTGACCGAGCCGAGCCGAATCGAACCGAGCCGTGCTGCATTACCGATTCGCGGTAAATTCACTTCGTGTCGACGACTTTTCTACATTTTAAAATTATTCCACTTATATTTATCCCATTATTTCATTAATAATCTAATAAGTATAAAGTGTGTGTATGCGTGTGCTATGCAAAGGTAGGTTCTTTCTTTTTTTATTTTTTGTTTGTTTATAACAATATTTGTGTATATTTTCTTTTTCCAATATTTGAACACGTTTTATTTCGATTAGGAGATAAATAAGAAAGAATATAAATTTAGTTCGATACATGGAAAAAATAGATAGAGAGGAAGAGGGAGAGTGAGAAAGAATGAAAGAGAATGTGTATGAACGATCAAATGATTGAAATTCAGCACGTGAACCACTTTCTCGTTGAATTTCACGGGCAAGATGAGGGAAAAAAAGTGAATGTGTAGAAAAGAGGATGCAGCAGAAGGGTGGAAAGAGTTGAAATTGTCCCAGAGCCCCACATACCAACGGATCGAATACATCGGCCGCGAACGCATACACGGGTTCTCTCTCTTTTTCTCTTTCTTTCTCTCTCACACATACTTTCCATCTCTGACCACTCACCTTTTCTACGCATAGAGCGCACGTGGCGTCCGAGTCGTAAACGCGTTCCAA